GGGAAATCCCTGGTGTAAACGAGGTTTCGAAGATCCCTGTGGAAACGGATACATGTAAAATAGGGAAGGACTGATGATGATGGTCAGGAAAAAAAGTCAGAAGTGAAGCAAGATCATGGTTAATGTTTGGTGGGGTGTTTTTGGTGTTTTTTTTTTTTTTGTGTGTGTGTGTTTGTTTTTGTTTGTTTGTTTTTGGGTTTTTTGTTTGTTTTTGTTTGTTTGTTTGTTTGTTTGTTTGTTTTTCTCCTCCTTTTTCCAGTAGAATATCTGGAGAAGGTGTTGATGCTGCCAAGTGATGTGCTTCAGCCATGTGACAGCACTTGTCCTCACCGGGCTCCTGCTCAGCAAGTATCAGCTGCCCTGCTCCTCAGGAAGGACTGCTGGTGGTGGGGTGTCCCTCAGCACCACATAATGCAGGTCAGGACCTACATGCTCAGGCAGCAGCTGTGGCTCACCTCAATGGCCCTGCACAGCTGTGGAGGTATCTGCCCTTGCAGTTTTTTTGCTCACTTGGAGCACAGTAATTCAAGAGAGTCAGTCCCACATGCACTTGCACGTAAATGATTAGTATTTTAAAAGCTAATGGGTGCAGAAAGCTGTAAGAAGAGCTGTGAGCTGCTCTGTTGTCTTTCTGTACCCAGAAAACCTAATCCTTGGTGTGTCAAAACCGTCCAGAGCAAGCCTGGTGTGCCTTTGGAAGCTTGGGTAGGAAAAGTACCATGGTGGAGAGGTGGACAATGACTTCTGTCTCATGACCTGAAATTTCTGTTTATGCAGGGTAAGGAAAGTATATTGAGTAACTCACATGGAAATATAGCTGCTGCTGCTGCCTTAAATTCTGTCAGGGTTTTCCTAGTCACCTTCTGTAATACTCTATCAGGAACAGTCCAGGACTTGTACTCTCGCTGGTGCTGGCAAATAGAAATTGAAATGTTCAGCTTTGAGGTTTGTAAAATGGATTAAAGCATCTGCTAAATTAGTTGCAACATATTGCGTGACTTGGGGCAGTGCTGGAAACAGTCTCCAAAAATCAGTTGCCTGCACAGCTTTGCTTTTTGCAATTTTTATCTGAGCTAAGAAAAGAAAGAAGAAATATGCTTCAGCTTAAACTAAGTGCACTGAAGGCAGGGTATTCTTTACGAGGTGGCAGATTTATGTTCTTTATCCCTGCCTGTTGACAACGCTACAGTCCACATCAACTGCTCTGCCTTAATGACAAATCTTTGTTACTGCCTTCAGAAAGAGTCTCTGAAGTTCCTGTTGGCATGGCTTATTTGGTGGTTTCAGTAGTGAGGAATATGTTTGAGTCTTCTGTCAAAGGATCTGAAAATGGTGCTATCCATGAGATCTCACCCTTGGCAAAGTGAGGGGGAGGTAGGAGATGATGTAGTGGCATTGCTTCATGGCTATGTGAGTCTTGGCTTCCTTGCTGTTATATGGTTTCTTAAAAATCAGTGTTTCCCCATGCAGGTTCTGGTGCTGCAGAGGTAGCTCCACATGCACAGGGTGCAGGCCTGGGAAGTGTATGCTGGAAGACAAGGCTTTGGGAGAAAAAACAAGCTCAAGTGTGAGAAAGGCAAATGGGCAGTGATGAAAGTGTTAAGGGTTTGAAGCTGGAAAAAAACAAAGCAACCCAAAAAACCGTCTTAGCAGAGGGGTGGAACAAGGGTCCACGCTGCCCGGTGCCTCTGCACCCATCAGACTTGGTCACCCCGTTTTTGGTCTGCTCTCCGCGATCCACCCTCCAGGC